TTTTTTTTGTTCCTCCACATTTTTTATTGGTGCATTATATTTGTACATAATGATGGGATTTATTGTTATATTGTGTATACGTACAAATATGTAACAATATAATTTGGCCAATATCACTCCCCAGTACTTTTCCCCTCCTTCTCCATCTCCCACCACTTCAGCCCTTTCTTCTGCTGATCTCCCTTTGATTTTCATAAGATTAGCTCCACATTTCTTTCCTTTTTTCCTCTCTAGCTTCTGCATATAAGAGAAAATATTATAACTCTTGACCTTCTGAGTTTGATATTTTGCTTAATGTGATAATCTAGTTCCATCCATTTTCCCACAAATGACATAATAAAACTCCATTGTGTATATGTACCACCTTGTATTTATCCATTCATCCATTGATGGATACCTAGGCTGGTTCCATAGTTTGGCTATTGTGAATTGTGCTTCTATGAACATGGATATGCATGTACTTCTATAGTATGATGGCTTTAATTCTTCAGATAAGTACCAAGTAGTAGTATAGTTAGTTGGGTGTAGCCTAGTCTTTTGAGGAACCTCCATACTGATTTGTATAGTGATTGAACTAATTTATAGTCCCACCAACAGTGTACAAGTGTTCTTTTTTCCCACATCCTCTCCAGCATTTATTATTTGTATTCTTGATGACTGCCATTCTGACTAGTGTGAGATAAAATCTCAGGGTAGTTTTAATTTGCATTTCCCTAATTGTTAATAATGTTGAACATTTTTTCATGTTTGTTGCCCATTGGTATTTCTTTGAGAAGTTCCTTTTAATCCATTTGCCCATTTATTAATTGAGTTATTTGGGTTTTTCTGTAAAGTTTTTTGAGTTCTTTATATATTCTGATGTTAATCCTCTTTCAGAAAAGTAACTAGCAAAGATTTTCATTTTTTAAAAAAAAAATATTTATTTGTTAGTTTTCGGTAGACACAACATCTTTGTTTGTATGTGGTGCTGAGGATCGAACCCAGGCTGCACACATGCCAGGCGAGCGCGCTACCGCTTGAGCCACATCCCCAGCCCCTCCCATTCTGTAGGTTCTGTCTTCACACTCATAGGCGGGAGGATCTCAAGTTCAAGGCCAGCCTGGGCAACTTATCAAGATAACTCCATCTCAAAATTTATAAAACAGGGAGGACACTAGTGCTATAACTCAGTGGAAAATGCCCCTGAGTTCTATCCCAGTACAAAAAATAATAATAAACCAGGTATGCATATGCCTGTAATCCCAGCAGTTCAGGAGGCTGAGACAGAAGGATCACAAATTCAAAGCCAGCCTTCACAAAAGCAAGGCACTAAGCAACTCAGTGAGACTCTGTCTCTAAATAAAATACAAAACAGGGCTGGGGATAGGACTCATTGGTCAAGTGTTCAATCCCCAGTTCCCGCTCCCCCACCCCAAAAAAAAATAATAACATATTGTGTTAATATAGCCTGTATATTATGAAAAATATATTTTCCAAATAGCAAAGAGATCATCATCCTTTGTATAATTTCAATACTTTTAACGTTTATTATAGCTTGTTTTAAGTTCTGGTATTAGGCTTTTCCTGGAGAAAATTGTTTAATCCTTTTTGAAAGTGAGCAGTAGTGTCTCCAATTATTATTGAATTATCTATTTCTCCCTTCAGTTCTTCATATATTTTGGGACTCTATTGATAAAGTGTATGTGTGCTTAAAATTGTTATATCTTCTTGATGGACTGACCCTTTTTTCATGTCCTTTTTTGTCTCTAGTAAAATTTGTATATTAAAATCTATTTTATTTTAGCCACTCCAGTTCTCATTGTTTTCTGTTTACATGGTGTATTTTTCAATAGGTTTCATACAGTATAATCTTTGAATTTACAAAAGTGTCTTTTTATAAAAAGTATATAAATGGATCATACTGTTATTAATTATTCTGTAATTAATCTGTATCTTTTGTTAAGGGCATTTAATTCACTTACATTTATTGTATCTATTGATAAGGCAGTATTTATGTATATCTTTTTTCTGTTTGTTTTCTTTGTCTTGAATTTTCTCATTCCTCTATTGCATTCGTACTACTTTATTTTAGAATATTCTCTAGGTTATCTCTATATTTTTTAAGTTATTTTCTTAGTAATTGCTCAGAATTACAATTAACATTTTATCTCTGAAACAGTCTGGTTCATATTTCACTTGTCTACAAAATCTGTATTCCATTATACATTTTTACTACCCGCTTTTTTGTGCTTTTATTGTCATAC